AAAATGGAGCGGAAAGTAAACGCGCTTTCAGCAATAGAAATAAGAGAAGCGTTAAAGGCATTAATCAAGATAGCTCAGCAAGAATGTTTTCCAAACCAGTTACAAGGCAACAATAAGACAGACATGATCGCTTCAGTCAAGAAGTTGAACTCTCTTAATCCTTTTTTTGATAGTGAAGGTCTTTTACGCGTGGGAGGAAGGCTTAGAAACTCAGAATTTTCTAATGATAAAAAGCATTCTGTGGTTCTGTTAGCAAACCATCGATTCACTAAATTACTTCTCATGGAAGAGCATATACGACTACTACATGCAGCACCGCAAGCATTGTTAGCATCCATACGCGAACAGTTTTGGATAATCGGTGGCAGAAATCTCGCAAAGAAGGTTGTTCACGAATGCGTAAAATGCTTCAGGAACAGACCACAGCAAACACAAGCATTAATGGGCGAATTGCCTAAATCTCGGGTGTCGGTAGCCCAATCTTTTCATGCCACGGGGATTGACTACGGTGGTCCTTTCTTGATAAAGGACAAGAAAGGCAGAGGCTGTAAAACGAACAAATGTTATATTTGCCTATTCATATGTTTCGCTACAAAGGCGATACATTTAGAGCTGATCTCCGACTTGACTACCGAATGCTTTATTTCGGCGCTCAGACGTATCTAGGCGAGGCAAACCGGCTCACGTATATTCAGATAATGGCACCAATTTCGTTGGTGCCAATCGCGAATTAAATGATCCAGCTCGATTCCTATTAAAGGAGCAAACAAGCTTAAGTGAATGCATCAATGACATAGGCATCAATTGGCACTTTATTCCGGCCTACTCCTCTCCACATTTCGGAGGTTTGTGGGAGGCTGGAATAAAGTCCACTAAACACCACTTAAAACGTGTTGCAAGCAATTCGTCACTGACATTCGAGGAATTTTATACGTTGATTACACAGATAGAAGCAATATTAAACTCGCGACCTTTAACTCCCATGTCGACGGATCCTAATGATCTCATTCCTCTTACTCCCGCTCACTTTTTAATTGGAAAGACCTTAAATTCAGTGGCCGATCCTGATTAGACTCATTTGCCAGAGTCCAGGTTGTCCAGATGGCAGCTGGTCCAAAATCTGCAGCAGCATTTTTGGAGGAGATGGAGCAAGGAGTTTTTGTCGGAACTACAACAGCGCACAAAATGGAAAAGGCCCTTCCCACAACTAAAGGAAGGCACGATGGTAATAATCAAAGAAGAAAATCTCCCCCCATTCAAATGGCGATTGGGGCGCGTAATATCCATTAGTCCAGGACGAGACCAGGTAGTTCGAGTAGCTACCGTGAAGACTTCTACGGGCACTGTACACATCACTATCGCGAAACTCTGTCCGCTACCTATTGAAAACTGTACCTATGTATTATATCTCAATTCGGATTATATTGCGTTACAGTATCTTCATATAGTTTATAGATAACGTTTCATCTAGATTCATAAGTTTGTTTTTAAGGATTATTATGTTATAATTATAGTTCACATTATTTGTTATGTCAATTAAGTAACACTAGAGTCAATGCACCTAGTCATGTTTACTACAGTCATGCTGATTATACTCATCAATACAGTCCACTCAATTAAAATTTTATTTTGATTGAAAGATATTCTTTCAATGCCGGGAGGCATGTTTATGCACATTTTCATGTAATTACTTGCGGTGCCCTCTTTACTTGTGATTGGTTGTTAGCCAGCGTGATCTGCGCGAGGAGCGAAGGAGCCAAGATGGCGAATAAAGATTCTCAGAGGCAAGACATGTTTTGTGTGCTCTCGTTATTTATCATAAAAAGTGAAACCCAGCATCATTCCGCATTAACATAAAACAATAATCAATTTAATAATTTGTACATTTTTACATAAATAAATCAAGTATTAATTAAAACTATACATATTAAATCTATACAAATTGTTATTTTTTTACAAAAAAAATAATTTTTAGATTTGATATTTAAAAAAATTATAATCATGTATATGAAATTTGTACTTTTTTAAACCTGAAGATTAGACAATTTTTACATTGTAGTATTTCTGGTAGTATAAAAAATTTATTTTTGTAAATGATTTCTATCATTGTAACACTTTTTTTTAAATGATTTTTATTTTTAGTTCATAAGAAATTATTACGTTATAGCTTTTCAAATTTTTAACTCAACATTAGACAAGGATTTGTTTTTATTCAGACACTTTACTTTGTAATTTACTAAATATTTTGTTAAAAAAAAGAAACATTTACAGATGTGATAAATATCACGATAATGCAATATTTAAAAATTCCATTTCCTATCTTTTCGTTCATTAAGTAACGTGTTCATAAATTGTTTGAAATATTTGTTTTAATAAATATACTCATGAAAGTTATAGTTGTTAATCGTGGAAGATAATTAATTGGTAATCGAAGTAATTGTCCGTAAGAAATAATCGTCTTTCAATAGATAATAATATGATAATAGATGGAGTGAAATGCAAACGAATTACTTGCCGATTCGAGTTTTGATGCGCGAATGACAATATTGCGCGCGGAGGTTTTGTATTCAAGATCGCGCATTGCCAAACAATAATTTAATCTACCGAGATATAATTTAATTTGTTTAGATATAATCATTTTTTTCTGGGATATTTCAGAGAGATAATTGGATTCTTCGAAGAAATTGATGGACCTAAGATAGCAAGGCTCAACATTACAGATTATTAAAATTTATACTAAGCAACAACAGTAAACATAAAATTCAAGTTGTTATGTGGAATAATGAAATAGACAGAATACATTTTCATATTCGACCTAATAGTGTAAGTATCAATTTTTCTCATTTTTTTCTTTATCTCTTTTATATTTACATTATATATTTGAACTATATTATACTTATAATTCAATTTTTTTTATCTGCATTAAACATGTTCAAAGAAATGCAATATTTGAAAATTGGCTAAATTTTAGTTTCTTGATTTTAAATTTTAAATAAAATATTAGCATAATTTTATAAATGTATGTACAAAATTTTGAAAATTCTATTCTCTAATATAAAAATTAATTTTTCATATTTAAA